AGCGAGGAACCCACTTGCAAGGCTTGTAAGAGGTTGCAGAGAGAGGAGGAGAAGGCCCGTGCCGAAGAGGCAAAAGAGCGCGTGTGTTCCAACTGCGGAATCCCCAAAAGGAGAACCGAGTTTTCAGAGTACATGCTGAAGAACGCGCCGAAAGCGTCGATGCAATGTAGGGAATGCGTAAACGCTGCAGCAGCAGAGCGGGATCAGGCGGCGAGGAAGGACATTAAAACTTGCGTGGTGTGCGAGAAGGCGCAACGGCAAGATTGTTTTTCGGATTGGATGTGGAACGGCGTTGCAGATCTGCACCGCAAGTGCAAGCGCTGCGTCGCTGCGCCGAAGAAGGACATGAAAACGTGCGCGGTGTGCGAGAAGGCGCACCGGCAAGATTGGTTTTCTGATTGGATGTGGAACGGCGTGGCAGATCTGCATCGTAAGTGCAAGCAGTGCGTCGCTGCAGGGAGGAAGGAAGTGAGAACGTGTGTAGCGTGCGAGAAGGCGCAACAGAAAGATTGTTTCTCTGAAAAGATGTGGGACGGCAGGGCAGAACAACACCGCAAGTGCAAGCGATGCATCGACGACGCGAAGCTGCAGCGCGGGAAGTGGAAATGTGTTGAATGCAAAGGCGCTTTCGGCAGGGACGAATACAGCAGCTGGTTGGCCGGGCGAACGACGCAGAAGGCGGATGGGAAGCAAAGGTGTAACGAGTGCTGTGCTGGCCAAGAGCGCAAAAGGAAAGAAGTCGCTGAGCGGAGCCATGCGTCAGTGACGAAAGTGCGTAAGACTGGATAGCTGTTGCCGCAGCCGACAGGAGGGACGATGGACGCGCGTGCCAGTCGTGAAGCATGTTGCCGGGAGAGTAGGAGAGGCATGCTGGCAAGGATGGGGATGTCGTTTTTTTTTTTTTTTGGGGGGGGTATAGGTAGTTTTTGGGCGAGAAATCGTAGGGTCGGGGGTCCCAAGAACGGAGCCAGAGGCTTGGGGATGTCGTGGGGGGGGGGTGGTGGCCAAGTGGGGGCCAGGTGGGCGGTATGGGTTGTTTTGGGCGAGAAATCGTAAAGTCGGGGGTCCCAGAACACAGCCCAGAGGCCTGGGGATGTCGTGGGGAGGGGGGAGGGGGGGTGGTGCCGGGTGGGGCCAGGTGGGGCGGTATGGGTTGTTTTGGGGCGACAAAATCGTAGGTCCGGGGTCCGAGGAACAGAGACCAGAGGCCTGGGGATGTCGTGGGGGGGTGGTGGCCAGGTGGGGGCCAGGTGGGGGGTATGGGTCGTTTTCGGGCGAGAAATCGTCGAGTTGGGGGTGCCAAGAATAGAGCCCAGAGGCCTGGGGATGTCGTGGGGGGGGTGGTGGCCAGGTGAGAGCCAGGTGGGGGGTGTGGGAGGTTTTTGGGCGAGAAATCGTAAGGTCGGGGGTCCCAAGAACACAGCCCAGAGGCCTGGGGATGTCGTGGGGGGTGGTGGCCAGGTGGGGGCCAGGTGGGGGGTATGGGTTGTTTTGGGGCGTCAAATCGTAGGGTCGGGGGTCCCAAGAACACAGCCCAGAGGCCTGGGGATGTCGTGGGGAGCGGTGGTGGCCAGGTGGGCGGTATGGGTTGTTTTGGGAGCGACAAATCGTAGGGTTCGGGGTCCCAAGAACACAGCCCAGAGGCCTGGGGATGTCGTGGGGGGGGGTGGTGGCCAGGTGGGGGCCAGGTGGGCCGTATGGGTTGTTTTGGGGCGACAAATCGTAGGGTCCGGGGTCCCAAGAACAGAGCCCAGACGCCTCGGGATGTCGTGGGGGAGTGGTGGCCAGGTGGGGGCCAGGTGGGGGGTATGGGTCGTTTTTGGCCGAGAAATCGTGAGGCCGGGGGTCCCAAGAACAGAGCCCAGAGGCCTGGGGATGTCGTGGGGGGGTGGTGGCCAGGTGGTGGCCAGGTGGGGGGTATGGGTTGTTTTTGGGCGAGAAATCGTAAGGTCGGGGGTCGCAAGAACACAACCCAGAGGCCTGGGGTGGGGCGACAAATCGTAGGGTCCGGGGCCCAAGAACAGAGCCCAGAGGCCTGGGGATGTCGGGGGGGGGTGCTGGCCAGGTGCGGGCCAGGTGGGGGGTATGGGTCGATTTGGGAGAGAAATCGTAGGGTCGGGGGTCCCAAGAACAGAGCCCAGAGGCCTGGGGATGTCGTGGGGGGGTGGTGGCCAGGTAAGGGCCAGGTGGCGGGGATGGGTCGTTTTTGGGCGACAAATCGCAGGGTACGGGGTCCCAAGAACAGAGCCCAGAGGCCTGGGGATGTCGTGGGGGGGTGCTGGCCAGGTGGGAGCCAGGTGGGGGGTATGGGTCGTTTTGGGAGAGAAATCGTAGGGTCGGGGGTCCCAAGAACAGAGCCCAGAGGCCTGGGGATGTCGTGGGGGGGGGGGGGTGGTGGCCAGGTGGGAACCAGGTGGGCGGTATGGGTTGTTTTTGGGCGAGAAATCGTAAGGTCGGGGATCTCAAGAACACAGCCCAGAGGCATGGGGATGTCGTGAGGGGGGGGGGTGGTGGTGGCCAGGTGGGGGCCAGGTGGGCGGTATGGGTTGTTTTGGAGCGACAAATCGTAGGGTCCGGGGTCCGAGGGGGGGTGGGTTTTGGGCCGACAAATCGTAGGGTCCGGGGTCCCAAGAACAGAGCCCAGAGGCCTGGGGATGTCGTGGAGGGGTGCTGGCCAGGTGGGGGCCAGGTGGGGGGTATGGGTCGATTTGGGCGAGAAATCGTAGGGTCGGGGGTCCCAAGAACAGAGCCCAGAGGCCTGGGGATGTGGGGGGG